CTACCTGATATGGCCTATCGACGATCGAAGTCAATACCAAACCGTTTTTTTTTTCATCCAGTAAGAGAATGGTTCAACTTTTACTTATTTCGGTCCTTCGAGGACAAAGAATGAATCAATTTACCTTTACTGCTCGATATATATTAACGGATTTGTAAATTATTTCGGTCAACTTGCATTGCGGTACCGCTTTTAAAGGTCTAGTAGTAATGGGAAATTATTCGAAAAATATCTATCTAGAGATACGTATTATAGTTATTGGACCTGAAAAGTAGCAAAATACAATGGTAATTTAAATATAAAACGTTAAGACTACTGTAATGCCGCTTTTCGTAGATGTGAACAAAAGTAACTGGATTTTTTATTTAGTTACATAGTTCCATTTAGTTCAATTCTTCATTCCTAGATGCAAATAATTTAGATTGACGGTTGAAAACATAAGTAAGTAAAGGGAGCAAAAATGAACTAGGTGAACGAATGAACCGGAACTAGTACCGATCGTTGCTTTTGCATAATAGTTCATTTAAACAAGTTCGAACTAACTGAACTTGATCTAGTACCGATCGTTTCTTTTGTGGAACACGATCTTTGAGCTAGTTTTTGGAAGGAGCATAGAACATAGAAGGTATTTTTCATAAGATTTTCTGTGTTTCAAGATACACAAATAATACCGTTCATATTTTGAACCCTTGATTTACGAATATATATTTATAAAAATGAAAAGGAAGATATATTGAATAATTTAAAAAATAAAAGAAGTAAAATAAAACAAATTTCAATAAAATGTTTTTTAAAGTTTTTTTTTCGTTATTTATTTGTTTTTTTTTCTTTGTTCGTCTCATTATATAACAAAAATCAAAAAATGTGATGTTTGTTTCGTTTTTTATAATAATAAGTGTATATAACAAAAATAATTAAAAAGTATTTCTTATTTATATAATAATAAAAAATTTAAGATTAAATTAACAAAAATAAAAAATAAACACTTAAAGGTAATATTTTTTTCGATTTTCTGTTTAAATAAAATGAAGAGCTCATTAATATTTACAGTGATTTGAAAAAAATTAGAGGTGAAGAAAAAAAGATTTTATTTACAAAAAATTAAAAATTAGAACAAAATTTTCCAAAATAAATGGAAAATTTGTAGAAAATAAAAAAGGCAAATTGAGTGAATAACAACAATAATTAAAAAAAAGAAAATTTGAAAATTAAAAAAATAGTATATATGTATGTGTATTTTTTTCATTAAAGCATTTAACATCAGTTTACGTTTGTTGTTTCTTTATAACAAATAGTCTCTCTAATACACAGAAAAATGGAGTAAAGCCTGCAGTGGAGGAGAAAAGACCAAAAATTCCGAACGAATTTTATTGTTCTCCTCACACAACTCAAACTCCACTGTTTTGTTGTTCATTCTTCTTGTTCTACCATATAGTTTAATGTCTCTAAAATACTAAAAACTATACTATATATATACTTATATGTATACCTAATAACTATTTACTAAGCCTTATATACTAATTTAAAGAGAATAGACGATAGGTTTTTAAGTTTAGTTTACTTTTTTCTTTTTCTAATTTTAGAAGTTTCTTTTTTGTAGTTTTTTTTGCTTTGACTAAGTTGTGTGTGTTTTTTAGTTAGTTTTTTCTTGTTTGTTGTTGTAAGGACTAATACGACATAAGGGCTATATGTGTAATTAAAGCTTAGAAAATAAATTCCTCAAAAAAAATAAAGAAATTAAAAAACATAATAATATTTTGAAAATATATATAATTTTGAAGTTCGTTTTTTTTTCTTTTTTGATACTATATAACTAGTTTAATATATATTATTATTGTATATATTTATTATATATTGTATATTATGTATATGTCTATATGTATATGTCTATAAAATCGATCCATTTACAAAAGAAATATTAGTGGAGAGAGAGAGGGGCGGGTTCGGTGAAATGAGTATGTGAAGGATATTCTGTTTTGATGAGATGGGTGAAACTTAAAAATTACGTCTTTACAATTTTTTATGATTTATTTAATAATAATTTTTACAATACGTTAGGTGACTGTTGTTTTTCGAAGATGGGCGGGAGGTTTTTTTGGGTCATAATTGGGGCTTTTGTAATTATTTTGGCATTCGTTTTTAATAAATGAATATTTTTTGTTCATAAATTATAATTCAGCTCCGGGGAGGGTACAGTTTAACCTTTAAGATGAGCTTAAATTTCATCTGTTAAAAATTATTTCATAAAAAATAAATAAAAATAAAAGCAGAAAGCACTGAACTATTTATAGGACATTTATGGTGGGCCTCAATGAAGATTTATGACCAATATACTTGATAAGATTTAAATTCCTTCAAAAAAATTATCATTCATTTTGACCTATTCGCATGCAAAGAAACCAGTTTTATCTCTTGAGAGCTGTATTTTTAATCAGCGACTTTTTTCTGGATCTGTTAAAATGAGCAAGCTTTTTATTTTTGCCAGGCCAATTCAGACATAAATACAAAAAGCATTTAAATTCTTATCCCATAACAGAGATGGGAACATGAAATTTGTCAATATTAGGTCGAAGGACCAAGGCAGAGTTCAAAATATACCAATTTTATAACCTCCTTAAGTCACAAAAATAACTAATACACAACTTTAGGCTTTACATATTTATTTTATTTTGTAAACTGAACTTCATATTAACACATAGAATAAATGGTAATTTGTAATTCATCAGTTTTCAGTCGAAGGACCAAACGCGGAGATGGGAATTTGAAATTCCTTAATTTTTGGTCGAAGGACCAAAGTTAATAAATTTTCTGACCTAATTAGATTAAAAACAACAAATTATACACAGCTCTATGCCCCATTCTGTGAACTGAAACTTGTAATTTGTCAATATTTGGACAAAGGACCAATGTGATTATTAGATCACTGAAAAATAACTAATAAAAACTTCTAGAATTAACTGATACTCAGATTAGCTCATAGTTCATAAATTCGTTAGTTTTCAGTCGAAGGACCACATCTTCTAACCTTCAAATACAAAGTTCTTTCGATGGTTTCGTCGAGTAGAAACATTTGTCCAAGTACGATGTTCTGTGAAGATCTTTTATCGCAGAAAAATACCTAAACGGATACCTAAAATACCTAGACTATTTTCTGTGAATCTAGAATTGAAGATATGGGAACTTGAATTCATTAGTTTCTGTTCGAATGACCAAGGGAGTTTGTATGAAGCCTAATTCTTTGGTCTTTCGACTATAAAGTTCTTTGTAGATTAAAAAGGAGAGAAGGACTTCTCTCGAGTCTGTTCTTCAAAGACTAAGGTGTGAATACTATTATTTTCCATTTTCGACCCTTTAAAGTAGAATACAGACCAAACATAATTTCACTATAATATTCTGCTTCTCCGCTTCAAAACCTCTTCGATCTGAGTTCGTCAATGTCTGTTAGAACGTAAGTTATACGCTTTAGTCGAACTGTAATACTTTTTTTGGTCCTTCGACCAAACATTCTCTACTTCTAGTCTCTTTTTGATAGATATGAATTTATTAATTTTTAGTTAAGTCGAATTAAGTCGTTAGGAAAAACTGAGGTATTCCGTAACACTCATTATTTGAGATTTTGGTCTTTCGAGCACCTTTGAAATTACTTAGTTTTATCCTCCGATCAAATCTTCACGAACCCTAGTCCCTTTTTTGTTATGTTACGAATCAATAAATGTGTAAGATCGTCCAATATTTTATTAAGGAAAATCTCAGAGCAGAGAAAAGATTTCCAAGCTGATTTTTTGGTCCTTCGAGCACCTTTGTCTTAACTAACATCAGTTATTTCTTGAATTCAAATGAGAAATATACGTTTTTGGTCCTTCGACTAACTATTCCCTACTTCTACCTCCTTTTCTTAGGTATTTAATCAATTATTTTTTTTTTAACAAATATTACATCCCGAAGAAACTCATAACAGAGAAAATGCATGCTTGCTCATATTATGAGGTTTTGGTCCTTCGAACATCAGTTTATTCGGTAAATTCATTTCCTATTGTGAATTTGTGTTGAGTAGTTTCTTAGATTTGGTCCTTCGAGGCCAATTTTCAAATAGCAAAAATCAGTTGGTTTCCTGACCTTAAGAAATATTGGTCCTTCGAGCAATAATAATAAATCACAAAGAATATCAATGATCTGGTCATAGTTCTTTAAAAATTGTATAATGAAGAAGTTGATAATTTGAAGTAGTTTTGGGCCTTCAGATCATTATAGTTCAGCCCTTTTGATTGAACTAGTTCGTTCATTATTTCATAGTTCATTAGTCGATCAATCGATCACCATTGAAATCGTTTATAGTTGACTACCCAGTTCGTCGATCGATCGTAGGTAATGAACCGTTCGTTTTTTGTCCAGCATAAGTGAATACTTTGTTCAATTAATAAATAGTTCATTTTTTAGACTGAAGGAACTAGTTCATATGCTCTTTTTAGGGAATCCATCAATTGAACTTGTTCATTCGTAAACTAAACAAATTTTATTTACAGTTTTTAGTCTTACAAAGGCCAAAAATGTTCTCGGAGCTGAGTTCTGAAAAAAATGTGGAATTTTCATAAAAAACGAACAAAAATATTTACAAAAAAAAACCCCTGGGATAAATATTCAAAAATGTTTGTATTCATTTGTGCAACACAAAGAGTTTTTGTATACTTTTTTTATATAATAATAAAAACTAAATATATAATTTTTCTTGTAGGCAGGTGTTGTAAAAAATTTATGCGTTTTTTTTTTTTGTAAAAATATTTTCATTTTTTCAGATTTTGGGGATGGAGTAGTAGTGGTAGTAGTTTTGAAACCCTTATTTGAATTATTATGCTTTGGCTAGTTTGGTTTTAGGCCTCATCGGCACAATGCAATAACCCGCACTTACATCGCAGCCACTGATCAAAAGATTCTTAAGAACAGAATTTGATTGTTGTGGAAGTTGTTGTTGCTGCCTTTGTTGTTGTTTCTGTGGTTTATTTTCAGCCATGGCCATTGTGGCATTTTGACTTGACCACTTGTTGTTGTTATTGTTGTTGTATCCCTTTGAATCCTTGCCAACTTGTTGTTGTTGCTGCTGTTTCACATTGGGTGTTGTTATCAATTGTTGTAGCAGTTGGGAAGTTGCTGTTGTTGTCAACGACGACGATGTGTCATTGTTGTTGATGCCCTTCATACGTTTCGAATCCATGCTGCTGCTGTTCGACGAATTAGACGAAAATTGGGAATTGCTGCGTTTATTACCCGCATGGCTGGCGGTGGTGTTCGTAGCATGCAAATAGGCAGTTTTAACAATATTTTGTTGTTGCTGCTGCTGCTGTTGTTGTTGCATCAATGGTTGGCGATTCTCAATAATGCGTATTGTGGCCGTACTGGTCAGGGGAGTCAATTTGATGGTATTCACTTTTGTATTTAAAATTTTTGTATTGCTTTGCGATGGTGTGCTGTTGTTGTTGTTGGGGGAGCTGTTTTGGGATTGTTGTTGTTGCTGTTGGGTTGTTGTTGGTATAATCAAGTTTTTATTATTGCTTTGAATTGTTATTAATGGCACGGCATTTAAAATAATGTTCTGATGTTGTTGCTGCTGCAATTGCATTTGTAATTGTTGTTTACAGTCTTCATGTCGTAAATTTTCCAATGTGGCTATTGTTGTTTGCTGAGGCGTTGCTGTTGTTGCTGTATTGTTGCTATTGTCCGTATTGTTGTTAATTTGCAAGAACTCATTCCAACAATCCAAATTTGATGCTAATCATTGAAGAGGAAATAATATATTTTTTTGTTATTTTTAATTTTTCTTTTGCTTTTTGGTGTTTGTGGGGAAATAAAAAAAATATTGAAAAGTGTGTATATTTATTTTGCAGGATTTTTTTAAGGAAAATTTGTTGCATTTTTTCTTCTCTTCCGGAATTTTCTTAACTAAAATAATCTATCAATTTTTTTTCTAAATTTATTTTTTATATATAAAATGTTTGTTTTTATTTATTTATTATTTTTTTTTTTCAAGGAAACCGAAAAAAACCTAAACAAATATTTTGATGTCCCTGAACTTGGCTGTACTAAAAAGAGAAAAATTAAAAAAAAAAAAATAAATAAATGAAAACATCGAAAGATAATAACAAAGAAGAAGAACCGACGAAAAAACATAAATTATAACACATGCCTAGCTAGAAATATATATATATATATATATATATAATAAATATATAGCATATGTTATAGACATAGAAATATGTAGGAATATGTCAACTAAATTAAAAAATAACTGAAATATTTTGAGTATACCCTACGCTAAAAGAATAAAGAATTGTATTTTAGCAGCTGGAAAATTTGTCGAAGAAAATAATTAATTTAAAAATTATATAAAATTTTGAAATAACCTACCTATGAAACAATAATAACCTACCCTTAAAAAAATATATATTTTTTTATTTTTTGGTTGGAATTTTTTTTTTCGAAAAAAATAGTAATTAAAAATACATATATTAAAAAATATGATTTAATAAAAACATTACAAAATTGTATACAGAGAATAATTTAAGAAAAAAACCCAACCTAAAATATTTTTGTTTGGATTTAAAAAAAAAAAAAAAAAAAGAATAGTAATTAAAAATACATATATTAAAAATATAATTTAATATATAATTTTAATATATTAAAAATAAAATTGTATGGGGGAATAATTTAAGGGGACCCCCCATTCTCGGGGTCAATTTTTTTTTTATTTAATTCGATTCTACACTAATTCAAGAATTTCATGTGAAAATCTCAAGAACTCTTGAAGATATAGCCGATTTATTGTGTCAGCATCAAGTGACGGCTACAGGGCTTCTCAAACTTTAAACACGTTTTTCTCTTTTGCGAATGGCGGGCACGATAACTCAAAAACTAATGACCCAATCGATTTCAAATTTGTACACGTTTCTCTGTGAGTGTATAGCTAACGTATGAAATAGGATAGAGCCATTTTGTTAATTTCAGAGCGAAGTCAATAATTACAAATTACAAAAAACAACAACAAAGCGATAACAAAATTTGTTTGTAAATTATTTTTCTACTTTTTTAAATTTTCAAATATATATGTGCAAAGCTACAAACCTTAACAAGCATTGGTATTGATTTACCAGCCCATTGAAAATCTTGAAAAATTAAAATCGAGAATGGGTGGGGTTCCCTTAAGAAAAAATTATATATAAAATATTTTAATTTTTGAATTTTTTAATCGATTGACAATTGGTTTCTATTCTCATAAAGATTGTTATTTATATAAAATTTAATTTAATATATAATAATATATAATTTTAATATATAATTTTAATTGTATTGAATATATATAAATTTAAAGAATTTATTCTTTACAGTTAAATAAAATTTCCGAATATAAAATATAGAATTTTTGAAATTTTCATATCCGTCGACAATGGCATTTTTTCGCAATCCATGTTGGCATTTTTTTTTCTCGAGAAATATCCAACAAAATACAATTTTGAACATTTATAAATTTTCTTATGGAAATAAAAAAAAAAAAAAACATATTTTCATAAACTTATATAATTGATAAAAAAATTATATTTTAGTGGAAAAGTTAAAGGCACATTAATTTATTGCAGAAAATTAGATAAATATTTAATGCAATAAATTAGCATATAATATAAACTGTTTTATCTTCCGATTTTCAATGCCATCTATAGGGTATACAATTAAAACAAAACGGAAAAAAATATTCATTTCGTTTTCTAGAAAAGAATAAAATATATGTATAATTATATATATGTATATAGGTATATATATATATATATATATATATTAGATTAAATCGAGCAAATCCCAAACATAAACAGTCATCATTGATATCGGCTACTAGTAGACTGGTTGGTTTTAATTTTATTTAAAATATATATATCCACAAAATAATTATATATATCTTTAGTCCAAAACATGTGATTGCTGTGTATATCTATTGAATTAGATAAGAAAAAGAAGAAGAGGCGAAGGAAAAAACATAAATAATCATAAAAACAATCCGCCAAGATATTCTATGAAATGAAAAATGTGAACACAAAAAAAGCATTTGTGGAGGAAAAACTAGAAAAAAAAGATTGGTGGACAATTTTTCGTGTGGCATAATAAATTTGTAGCAAATGATACCTAAATGTGGCATTTGACACAATAAAAATAATTACCATACTCTATCCGTGGGATTAATTTGATGGAAATAAGAAAGAAAAATAAATGCCGAAATTGATGGAAATTGTGGAGGGAAAAAATCGTTTCATATAAGAATTAGGAAATAGTTAGAAATAAATTGCTATTTTGTTCAAAATTAATAGAGACACGTATACATATAAAGTTATATATAAAAAATATATGAGTATTTTGAAAATATAACACGTGTAACCCTGAACTTGAGCATAGTGTGTTATTGAAATATGAATTGAGTAGTATATATTTTTGAGCAATAAATATTAAAAAACATATTCGTAGATTTTATATATATTGTTTGTTTCAATATATTGTATTTTAATATATTTCAGTATATTGTGGTTTCAAGATTAAAAAAACGTTTTCAAGATCAAAATTTGATATTTAAAAAAATTAAGATCCAAAAAAATTAAGATCCAAATCAAACATTTTTATGATTTAAAGTCTATTTTTTTAAGATTTAAAAAATATTTTTTCGTTATATGAATTTTGCTTTGTAAGGGCAGTGATCATTTCAAAGTAATTTTTTAAGTGATTATTTATACTCTTTCGAGTCGAGCTTGATGATCTAAGTTTTGCAATGAAAAGGAAAGCCAGGAGAAGAACCTACGTACCCACCATTATGCGACGCGTTTCGCCGTTGGTTATGCGGCTCATCAGGCATATTGGGCTATGTGGCTTTACAAAGGTCGTACGTTGATAACTTGTATTTATTCCGCCCTGATGCGAAACTGGCATATGCGAATTAAATTCAAATTTGTCAAAGTTCGACATTTGCCTTCATTCTAGGAACAGTCCTTTTCAAAGCAGATTTTTGTTGTAGCGATGTATAATTAATCCACACACCTACAATTTCTTCCATGGTATACACATGTTTTTGCGCAACCGTTTTTTGGAAGTGTGTTGATGGCTCAGAACGTTGAGTGGTCTGGCAACATTTGTGTTGCTCCTAGGACCTAGGTTCGAGCCCTAGCCGTGCTCAGCTGAAATTAATTTTTGTTATTTGAATTTTGCCTTGTAAGGGCAGTGATCATTCCAAAGTAATTTTTTAAGTGATTATTTATACTCTTTCGAGTCCTTTTCATTGCAAAACTTAGATCATCAAGCTCGACTCGAAAGAGTATAAATAATCATTTAAAAAAATTTTTCAAGACTTTAAAATAAATGTTATGATTTAACAAAAAATATTGTTTTGGAAGTTTTAATTTTTTTTTTACTTTTTATATGAGCGGAATTTTGTAAAATTTTAACTTTTTCAATACTCATATGATATTTCTATAAAGATATTTTTCAAATTAAGTGGGGGTCAAAAAATTATTCTTATAAAATTTAAATTTGGGGATTTTTTTTGTATTTAAAAACCAGTGAGCGGAGCAGTATAGTCGGACGGGGCCGATAGTGATAGTTGTACCCTGTTGCCCGATTAGAAATAAACAGCACCTCTTCCTTACACTGACATATATTCCAAATATTACTAATATTCAGTACAGCTCTTCTAATTACTTGTCCAGATTGCCTTCACTGTGGTTTGTGTTCGACTTTCAATTGTGGCCTGAAGATCGACTCGAGAAAAAAACAAACATTAAGTTTTTGGTCCAATTCATCCCAAAATTATTATCTGATCATCACCGAAAATTATAGCCGTTGTCCTTGACCATACCTGGATCCTAATGGAAAATTTAAAAGCGATCAGCGCTATATTTCCGCCCTCTAGTGTGGTAATGTGTTACTAAATAATATATGAATACATAAGCATCTGTAATTATGTAAGTGTAACTCCCACATCCGAGTACATACGACAATATAATTGGTATCAATTTAAAGGTCAACCACTCCTCTTGGATATACTGTCAACTTCTCCGGTCTATGTCCTTCAGGGGTAAATATATAGGCTATAGAATACAAATTTCGTAATTTTTCACACAAAAGTCAGCGTCCATTTTTGACCCGCTAAGTGTTGACCAATCTTTATCAAAACAGGCATGCTGATTGTTTGGCCCGATCCCTCCTTCTCCATTCGCAATATTTGGGCCATAATTGAGGCCTGTGGAGTGACCAGAAAATCAGACAAAAATAAAGTTTTTGGTCCATTTCATCCCCTAAAAATTAACCGATCTTTTAACAAAAACAATAGGGGTCTTCATGGACAGACGGACGGACACACATGTCTAGATCGACTCAGCTAGTCGAAATATGACGATCGGTATACTTAAAGGTGGGTCTAGGACCAATATTTCGCGTATTCTTAATTGTTCAAGTAAGATTAGAATAAAAAATATATTATTTCAATTTTCTTTAAATATTTGTTTTACGACTTAATTTTTGAAAAACATTATTTTTTATATTTTTATGATTAAATAATTAATCTCCATATGAAGTTGTTTTTTTTTATACCTATATCTTTTATTCTATGAGCTGGATTTTTAAATATTATAACGTATTTTTAGAAATATATTTTCAAGATCAAGACCGATATGACAGTTGCAAAATATTGGAACTGTCTATTTTATATTAAAATAAATTATGTTTTAATTATTACAATATTA